GTTGGGAAAACCATAGTGCCCCAATATCCTTACAGTAAAACAAGCTTGGTGTGTTGGGAACCCATAGTGCTCCAATGTCCTTACAGTAAAACAAGCATGGTGTGCTGGGAAACTATAGTGTCCCAATATCCTTACAGTAAAACAAGCATGGTGTGTTGGGAAAACCATAGTGCCGCAATATCCTTACAGTAAAACAAGCTTAGTGTGCTGGGAAACCATAGTGTCCCAATGTCCTTACAGTAAAACAGGCATGGTGTGCTGGGAAACTATAGTGTCCCAATATCCTTACAGTAAAACAAGCATGGTGTGTTGGAAAACCATAGTGCTCCAATATCCTTACAGTAAAACAAGTTTGGTGTGTTGGGAAACCATAGTGCTCCAATATCCTTACAGTAAAACAAGCTTAGTGTGCTGGAAAACCATAGTGCTCCAATATCCTTATAGTAAAACAAGTTTGATGTGTTGGGAAACCATAGTGCCTAAGAGTCCTTATAGTAAAACAAGTTTGGTGTGTTGGGAAACTATAGTGCTCCAATATCCTTACAGTGAAACAAGCATGATGTGTTGGGAAATCGTAGTGCCCCAGAATCCTTACAATAAAACAGACATGGTAATTACTGTGAACATACACTCCCGCATCTAGTGTAAGGGTCTGGAGCTAGTTATCTTGGGAAACACTACAGCGAAGGAAAAATGCTTTGGTAAAGATGTCAACTGTCTGCCAGCAGGAATAACAGACAACCTTTTTTTATATGGACCAATCAATGATCGATACTCACACACAGTTCCCTAAGGCATATTATTTATTTCAAGGGTCAAGTTGGCGGGTCAGGCCATCTTCTGTCTGCCAGTATATTGTAATATGTTGCTTGTTTGACAGCATGACTATGGGTAGTTCAGTGATTGTTAAATCTACACATGAAACTAACAAGTCTGTATCACAAGAGGGATGGCTTCATCTTTCCAATGGTCAACTTTCCCTTTCTGTCAAGCAAGATTCCAGCAATATTTAGCCTTTGATGTATAGATTACACACATTTTGTGATACAATTGAGATTTAAATGAGTGCTATACAACTCATGTATGTTCAAGGGTACAACATACAGAGCCATAGTAAAGCTTTCAAAATGTTTTGTGTAGACATTTATGAACTTGACACAGGTCACAAACATGATGTCTGATCCAATTCCTATCTTTGACTTGTAATATGTGTTCTCATGGATTTCCATCTAAACAATTGACTTGCCATTGCATGTGTTTATGATGGTACCATTGTTGGAGCAGGATATACTCTTCCTTTGCACAACCTGGTCTCATCACAATTCATGAATACATGCTTCTGATGTAGAAACAGTTCTTTACCTCCAGTACAGATGGAATCGGTTTGCACATTTGTGCCGTGGGCCTTAATGGTAAGCAGCCTTAGTACAACTGTTTTCCATGCTTAGACATTGACAAACAGTAGTCATAGAGTTACAGTCACAATGTGCATGCTAGCTCAGTGTTTTACAGCTTCGATCTTAGAGCCAGGACTCCCAAACTGTTCATGCCCCATGGCCCATGTTTGGAATGGTCAAATCTGTGATTGACCCACGCTCAGGGCGATGTGGCAAATTCTCAGACTTGAAAAAAATGTTTTTTAGCCTTCTCAGGAGTCCATTCCCATTCTTTAACATGAACGTGAAATTATGTCTTAAGCACTATGCCTATCATAGTTCCGTTTTTTTTAGCATAACCGTGAAAGTCTTAGCACTAAAGTCACTTGTATTGCTTTATTCCAGAGCAAGGTTTTAGCACTAATATGATGTAACTCCTCCACATTTCACACAGAATTGCGACATTCACAATGCTTAGATCTCTGTGGAATAGGCCTTGGACCATAAATGTTCCACAGTAAACAAACCAAACAACAAGTAGTTATGTCAAATCCATTAGTTAATTATCAAATTTTAACCATACTCATCGAACTACTTGAGATAATTTGTTTTTGGAAAAACGCAAGCCATAAAATAAGTACAGTGTGATCTGAGTCTGTGTGACATGCGAACCTGCAGCCAAGTTAGTTCACATCCTTTCTTGTGGTGGCCGTCGTCATGCAATACATAGGTGAGATGGGAAAATCAATACATGCCCACAGGCAGGACGAGGCACATCAATGCTATCGAACATGGATGATTAGTCAGATTAGTTCCAACGATGGTCGATCACATCGAGCACAGTAGTCGACCTACAAGGAACAGCACAGGTCTTGAAGGTTATGGAGTTCCCAAGGGACCACTGAACCTTTTGATAGGGAAATAGCATTTTGATGAAAAGCATGTTACTGAGTGTTATGGGATGCCTCAGATGACGTGGCGTTTCCCACGAATGGTCAAGGTGATGATGAGGTTCATGAAATGTGATTAAACTGCATTACCAACAAAGACTGACCAGTAGAGTAGGGAAGGTGCTACTTAATGTATTGTTTGGAGCTCAGCCGCAGACAAATTGTTTTTCTCAACCATATGATGATGACAGCAGCTGAAGGCTAGGGAATTTTTTTGGACATATCATGATTGGATGGCATTGAAGGTCAAGGTCACTCAGCATGACCTTAGCATCACAATAGATTTTGTAAATATTGATTTCAGTGTTTTTAATAGAATTTGTTGAAAGAGTATATTTATTGTAGGGCTGGAATGAGTGAGTGAGTTTAGATTTATGGCACACTTGGCAATATTCCAGCTATATGGCTGCGGTCTGTAAATAATCAAGTCTGGACCAGACAATCCAGTGATCAACAGCATGAACATTGAGTCAGCGAGCCTGACCACTCCATCCCGTTAATCGCCTCTTACGACAAGCATGGGTTACTAAAGATCAATTCACGGGTCAATAAGATTGAAATTTTGGATGATATCTGAGAGGTCATAAGGGGTCATTTGTTTGAAAATTCATAAAATTTCCAGGTGATTCATGAAAAATCTTAGAACCATGAAATCATTATGATTGACCTCAATAATTACCTCATTACCTGTCATGGCTGTGTCAGTTGTCAAGCAGACCCATGAAAATCCTGGTTAGAATTGGTCTTAAGCTCTCCATGCTTGAGGTATCAGGCAGTCAGGCTCTCTGTATTGATTGATGCACATATCCACATCCCGATTATGTAGCCTGATGCTCATGACTACAATCACTGAATTGACTCTATTGATGTAACTGGAAAATTGTCGGTATGGCGTTAAGAACAAACATGAGATGTCAAAGTCCCTTTGAAGGTGACGTGCAAATCGGTCCAATTACAAAGTATCCACAGAGTCATATGAACACGTGTTACCATTATCCATAGCAAAGGATCTCATCCAAACCTCAATTTGACTTTATAAATTGACCTTAAAAAGGAATAATTGAATGGTAAATCTAAACTCAAATAAGAATGAAAAGCTGTAGTTTATTCAAGAAAGCAAACATGGCAAAAAAAAATGACTGATTTTGTAGTGCAGTCGTATTCAAGATTCTGGCATACAGTGCTCAAGACACCACTTGAGTATCTGTAGACGAGCACTGTCAATATCTGGTGTAGCTCCAACTGCGGTAACTTCCTTGACCTTCCTCCTCATTGACTGTATCAGATGCTGATCTTTGGTGAGGTACTGCATTCGATTTTTTTTATGGAGGGGATGTTTTAGTACATCAGGATTTTGTACTGGAGGATCTCTCTCAGACATATCTCACCCATGAAGATCCGGGTTAGAATATTGATCTTCAATAACCCATGCTTGTCGTAAGAGGCGACTAACGGGATCGGGTGGTCAGGCTCACTGACTTGGTTGACACATCATTAGTGCTGGTATTGGCATACAACCTGCAATGCGATACATCATGATACTAAAATTTTAGTCACGACGATATATTGCCAAAGTATTGTGCACTGAAGCTGCGATACGATATGAATCCCGATATAAGGGTGGCGATACGATAGGTATCACTATACTAAAATCTTTAATTCTAACATCAACTATGAAACACCTTAAGATCAAAACAAAACCATTTTAAAGTATTTCGCTAAATTCCGGCAGCGTTTTTCAATGTTCATTCGTAAATGAGATAATTAAGTTTATACACAGACTTTGTGAATGTTAATAAAATGCGACTGCTATGTTTGACACAGTTCCTTACGCAAGGATTTCCGAGAAACTTATGAAGGGAAAATGAGTAACATTTTAATCATCAAAGAAAAGTAAGTCTTTCTTGACAGATATCGTGATTCAGCAAAAAACATTGATGTATCGTGGCCCATATGAAGTATCGTATTGGGATATACACCAATGTAAAACTTTGTATCGATTCACTGTATCGGTGGTCCATGGATCGATGCATCTATGCGTATCAATGAATCGTCACACCACTACACATTATCAGTTCCTATTTGCACAGATCGATGCTCATGCTGTTGATCACTGGATTGTCTGGTCCAGACTCACTCACTCACTCTGGCATATCTTGTTACCCATAGTGTCCCAAACATGCTCTTTTGGATACAGTTCCATTCTTGATGGAGGGGACGTTTCAGTAATCAAGATTTTGTACAGGACTGTACAGGAGGACCTCTCTGGCATATCTTGTTACCCATAGTGTCCCAAACATGCCCTTTGGGTATGAGTTCTGGATTCCTGTCGGACCAAGTTACAGTTGCTAACACCTCTTGACATAAGATATCACTAATGGCACATGCACAATAGGGCCCGCCTTTGCCATTTTCTGGACCAGACAATCCAGTGATCAACAGCATGAGCATCAATCGATGCAATGGGGATACGATGTCATGTGTCAACCAACTCCATGAGCCTGACTACCAGATCCCATTAGTCGCCTCTTACAATAATCATGGGTTGCTGAAGACCAGTTCTAAAGCTGGCATGATGTGATATAACTGACATACTGTGCACAGTGGTGTTATTTCAGCTGTTCAATATCAGAAGGTTTACAAGAAAATCTTCATAAATTTTGTTTACTTCCAGATGTCTGGTCAACGCTACAAGCGTACAAACTTTGATGACGACGACACGATATCCAATGGGGGCACACCGCCTGCTGTTGACTTTCATCCTGGGATCGTGTTCAAGGGGGGGTTGACTCTGTGGCAGAGAAAGACCACCTTAGAGAAGGTTCTCATCATTCTTCTCATCATCCTCGCCATCTCTCTCATCGTCATTGCCGCCATCTTGGCCGTCAGGGAGTCACAACTTCAGGACCTGAGGAAAGGAACGGGTGAGCTTGGTTTTCCATGTTTCTTATATTAGTTTGCCTTTAACAGGGCTATACAGTCTTAAAGATATGGTAAAAATGAGTTCCATGTTAAACTGCGGGAGCTTTATTTATAAAGGAAAAACACAACAAAATCACTATGCTTGATAAAGCTTTAATAAAAGTTTTTAATCATGACAAAATAAAAATCTAAATAATATTTGACACAAATGAAACAAGGAAAACACCAACACAGTGGTTTCTAGTTTGAACTAGTTTCTCCACTCTCAAAAAAGCCCTGAGATTTTAGACAGCAACTTGACCTGGTCAGGACATATCAGGGATCATTGGTCATTAATGAGTAAATATTTAAAACATTCAGATCCAAAACATTGTGAAACACTTGAATAAAAATTAAGAACACAACTTCAAACCGAACTTAACAATCCAGTTAAATGTAAAATCTTTGAAGGGCCTTTAGAAGTGGAATGCATAAGAAAAGCAAGATTTATGTATGTCAACTTCATTCACTATATAGAAGTTGACATCCATAAATCTTGCTTTTCTCAGTTAAATGTAATTTTCACCACGATCATTCCCATCACCATTACCACAGTTGCCACGATCATCAAGGTTTCCGAGTGTTACGAGGTTTTCCGAATGCATGTCAAAATACCGGTTTTCGATCAGCGTATCGAAATACATATCGTTTTCATGTCTGAACTGGTTAATACCGGTAAACCGGTTAAATTGCACAGCCCTAGTGCAAAGGTTAACTAGAGAAATATGTGATCATTGTATATTTGTTCTATGCAAATGTCAGTGTCACGTAATCTCATGTACACGCACATGCACATTGTCAAATCCTTTACACCTCACTGTTAAGTAATGCATATCACAAGATATTATTATTATTATACGATATTTATATTAACTGATTTCCCACTTGGGATCAAAGTGTGGCACCTTTTGTGACATTGCTGGAGTTTGTGTAAGCAGAGTAAAACTCAACTCACTCACTCACTCCATTTCAGGTTTCCCCTGCTATGGTAGTGCTGGAATATTGCTAAAAGTATTGTAAACCACAGTCTCGCTCACTCACTCAAGAAATGATGTGTATGCCTGTTTTTCCTTCAGATTACTGCATGACTCCCGAGTGTGTGACAGTAGCCAGCTCAATCATCACCACCATGGACCGCAGTGCCGACCCTTGCCAGGACTTCTTCCAGTATGCCTGTGGGGGGTTGGATCAAGTCCCACCCTATCCCATCAGGCCACAGCAGGTGGGGCACGTTCAGTGTGCTGTGGCAGGAGAACCAACTGGTCATGAAGAACGTCCTCGGTAGGTGCTGCCTTGTGTTGTTGTGTCATGTATTTGTGCTTGTTTTGAGAACTGTCACCATTCACTGACAGTTGGTGCTTGCAGCTAGAACTGTTACCATTCACTGACAAAGTCGTGCATGCAGCTAGAACTGATACCATTCACTGACAAATTGGTGCTTGCAGCAAGAACTGATACCATTCACTGACAAATTGGTGCTTGCAACAACAGGCCTACCAAAGAAAACTTTCCCACTGTGCAGAAAAACGCAGAAAAGCCCACATTAATCGTGGAAATAGCAACATAAACATAATACCTCGCTACCGAAACAGTTAAAACGGCAACTTTAAATCGCTAACACTGCATCATAAGACACGAAGCCCGCAACTTCGATTTTGCGCATGCGCACATGGAAGAGGAAGTCTCGACCGCATGTTGACATTTTCCAGCTTGGACAAAAGTAACATTCCTTTTTAAGTATTTCTGTTGTGTTATTTGGCATTTATCATCATAATACTTGTGTGCACACTTGTTTAGTTTACTTTCCATTCGTATGAAACGATTGACAGCAACTATTTCGACATATTTAATACTTTTTCCACGCGAGGTGATTCACGGTTGCTCGGAAATTGGAAAGAAGCCGGGATCGTAATGCGCATGCGCAGTAGAGGTCAAAGTTCGCTGATATAAAAATGTTGCAGTTTCATAGTTTTTACGTTGCCGTTTTTACTGTTTCAGTAGCGAGGTAATGTGTTTATGTTGCTATTTCCAGGATTAATGTGGGCTTTTCTGCGTTTTTCTGCACAGTGGGAAAGTTTTCTTTGGTAGGCCTGAACAAGAACTGTCATCTTTCACTGACATATTGGTGCTTGCAGCTAGACCTGTTACCATTTATCGACAAATTGGTGCTTGCAGCAAAAACTGTCTCCATTCGCATATCTGAACACTGTTTATGTAGCCAGCCAAACTGCTTATATGGTATTATGTACAAACAGTACCGTGCTTCTGTTTGATTATATGGTATTATGTACAAACAGTACCGTGCTTCTGTTTGATTATATGGTATTATGTACAAACAGTACCGTGCTTCTGTTTGATTATATGGTATTATGTACAAACAGTACCGTGCTTCTGTTTGATTATATGGTATTATGTACAAACAATACCGTGCTTCTGTTTGATTATATGGTATTATGTACAAACAGTACCGTGCTTCTGTTTGAGGCAAGATGACAATGGACAATACAAAATTTCCACAGTGTGACCAGACACAATTGACACACAAAATTTGATTGTTGCGTCTACTTTACTTACTGATTAAATAAACTGGGCTATGCTTCATCTTGATAGGACTGCAACCAATCCATGTAATTACTGATTTACCAACGATATATTTTTGCCAGTTTGACTGTTATATTATCTTATTTATCCTATATATTCTTGCAGAGAAGGTGTCAGTGAAGACACGCAGTGTTGCGGAGAGGAAGGCCCAGGCGTACTTTGAGTCATGTATGGACAAAAACAAGACGGTGGAGACGTTGGGAGCCCAGCCCCTGCTGGACATCATGCGAGGCCTTGGGGGGTGGGGCATCTCCAATAAGTCTGGAACGTGGCAACAGAACACCTGGAACCTGCAGACAGCCGTGGAGAAGGTGCACATGATCGATGTCAGTCCCCTGTTCAACATGTGGGTCGGGGGAAACGATCGCAACTCCTCTAGGAATATACTCTTGGTGAGTTGATAGACCTCGTTTCCATATTAATGGTGATGATTATAGTGATACTTTTGAATTTATTCAGTTATCCAGTGTGTTGTATAGTTAATATTACACTATAAACTCTCTCAACCCAAAAACTATTGAACCATATGCTGGTACATGACACTAAATATTAGCTAACTAGATCAAATCACATGAGTGAGTGTGTGAGGTTAGTTTTACATCGATTATTAGGGGTGTCACGATACACCAATCTCACGATACGATACGTATCACGATTTTAAGGTCACGATACGATACCAACGTATCGCGATACATAATTTTCGTGCCTTTTCATAGCATTACCTTACCGGCAACGTACGCACTCGCTGATTGGTCCATCAAAATAGTCTAGCCAATCACAAAAGCTGTTAGTTTCCAACCTATTTTTTAAGTAAAGCTAGCTACATCTATTTATCGGAGCGATCTAGTATAATTTTACTATCAAGACTTTGAAGGAGATTGATATAGCATAAAAATTTGAATCGATAAAGTTTTAAAATAGGAATCGATACACGCAAGCATGTATCGCGTATCGTATTGTCAGTAAAAATGTATCGATGCATCGATACATTCGCGTATTGCGACACCCCTATCGTTTATAGCAATATTCCAGCAGAACATAGCTGGGACCCCAGAAAGTGGCTTCACACATTGTACCCATGTGGGGAATCGAACCCAGGTCTAGTTAGTTGTGTAGACTTGTGAATGAGTTGGGTTCAAGACCACTTTGAACAGTATTTCTGTTACCATATTTCTTCTGATAAGTGCCTGGGCGCTTATTTTTTTTAACAGACTTCCGGACCTAGAGCTTATTAGATGCCCAGCACTTATTGCACTTACTGGCTGTACCGCAATTAATTGTTAGTGTCTGTTGCTTCAAAGTTAGGGACCATTCCTTAATAAATCGATTTTGGGATCAAGGGAGAATACATTTATACAAAATGTACCCTCTGCTTATTTCTTTAACCGCTGCTTTACCCCTGGCACTTACCGGTATTAGAGGCCTGGTGCTTATTAGAGACCCAGTGCTTATTAGAGACCTGGTGCTTATTAGACACCCGGGCTTATTAGAGACCTGGCACTTATTAGAGGCCTGGTGCTTATTAGAAACCCGGTGCTTATTAGAGGAAATACGGTACATTGAACCAACTTAATGTTACAGTGATACAGGTGTTACTGGTACAGTCAATATTTTGTTAACAGGCTCAGAACCATAAGGTTAAATCAGATTTCATTCCAGTATCTTTGGATCCTGAGCTTCAACTTTCAAAGGCAATCTGTCAGAATAATCCAAGTTTGAGTAGTCAGAATGTGTGACCTGGCTGATTGTGTGTCTGTGTTCCTTGACAGGGTTGTGTGTTGTGGTATTGTCCACCACTGGCATGAATGTGTGTATGACGTGACATAATTTGCATATTGCTCACTGTGGTTTAACAACATTTTTAAGTCAAAAAAGAAACATTTTGTTTGCTTGGTCCTTAAATAGAGCATTCTAGTTTAAGCCAAATATTTTCAGTGTAGAGATCTGCTCACTATACAACACCAACAGCGATCTCCCAAGCAGTAGTGATTTGCCTAATCACTTTCCTTCTGATTGATGAAAAGATTAGAACTGTTTAATGCACCGTAAGAGATTGATGAGTGAGTGAGTTTGACTTTACCTTTAGCAATATTCCAGCAATTTCAATGCACAGGACATCAGAAATCTGCTTCACACATTGTGCCCATGTGGGGAATCGAACCCGGGTCTTCAACATGACAAATGAATGCCTTAAGCACTAGGTTACCCCACCACCCCTGTTAGGGATGGGAGTGTATCTGGTTTTCACCACTATCCAAGCAATGTCACAGCACAAGAAATCGGCTTCACACATTGAACTTTATTTGGGAATCTAACTGGATCTTTGATGTGAAGAGAATTTAGTCGATGATGTTTTGTTTGTGTACCTAGACAATAGTACTGTGAGACCCTATAAATAGGCTCCGGTGAACATGTGTGTGTGTCCTTCTTGAATATCCCAGAATTCCTCTATTATTTTTATCCGATATCAGTGGTATCTTAAGTGTTTATTACAACAGATATCATTGTAATGTTACCTAAAATTTCATAAGCATTAGGAATATATTACAAGTTTTATGGACGTTCAGATGTTTTAGAGGTTGCATGTATAACAGGTTAATTCCAAATATGTGTCACTAAAACCTGCAGGAGAAATTACTTGGGTTGCCCATGACAACGCCAGGCTGAAGATATGACCTGATCATAACAGCATTCTAGACTACGACCTCGAAATTGTGTTGAAGTAAAACTCTAACGATGGTAATCCTCACTGAATATTGGCATTTGAGGGCTTTGATTCTGAATCCTGCAGTTTTACTTTAAGTTGGAAGTTAATAAACCTTCTGGAAATTGTGAACATGGTAAAAAACATATTCAAGCAGGTCTAGCAGTGAAATACGGTTTACACTAGTTCCCTGAACTAGTCTTTAAAATGATTTTCCAAGGCTATATCATGTGTTTTGTCAGAATCCACTAAAACCCTACTTCAATTTGCATGAAGTCAGAAGTAATCCCTGTGTACTTATTTGAAGAAGAGCTCCTAAAATAACATCATCACGAATAAGAGATTATTGGAACATTGAGAAAACTGTCAAGTTGGACTTTGCTCACGACCTATCACATCGCCTGTCATGCAGCTGTCATTTCACTTGGCGGCCATCTTGATAAACCTGGGCTTTCATCTTGGTTGAGGCACAAAAAGGATTAGTGAACATTATCTGTTTGTTTGATGTGTCCGTTATGTAATTAGGATACTGTGGATGGTATCACAATCTGGTTGGTAATATCCGTGGTTCTAGTTTTGAAGTAGGACACGATTGAGGATGCTCCATGGACCAGGCAAACTGAATTTCCTGAGCCTCCTGTGCTGCAGCCTTAAAAAAGATGTCTGGTGTTACAGTTATTCAACTGTTATTGCCTAACAGACACCAATCACTGATGACTGTTGCATTCACATGATTATCAATTCCCCACATGGATACAATGTGTGATGCCTATTTCTGGTATTCCCAGCCGTGATATTGCTGGAATATTGCTAAAATCAGCGTAAAACTAAACTCACTCACTCACTCGTTATCACAATTCTAGGTACATGTCACTATGAATTGCTACACTGTGATCAAGCAAGACTTGTCACTCTGTATAACACCATTCAAAGACCTTAGGGACTGTTCATAATTAAAGGCTGGGGAACTGCTGATGATTTTATGTACAACGTGAATGCCCCCCCACACACACCACACACACACACCTAGCCACCACCCCGTAAATTTTATGTTCAAAGTATTCAGTGCTCAAACAAATATTACTTTAGGCTTTCCTCCTAACATGGCATGATATATCTAGACTCACTCAGCCACTCATTCACTCAGTCACTCAGTCTTTCATTAATGAGCTGACATACAATGATGTAACTGAAATACTGTACAAAGCAGAGTTAAACCCAAACTCACTCACTTACACACTAGTGTATTGAAAGCAGTGCAAGATTAAACTCACTCACTTTTATTTAAATCAGTGTGAAACTAAAACTTACTCACCTGAGTTTATGATAATACAAATGAAATACTATTTGAAGCAATGTTAAACTAAAACTCACTCACTCGTGTTTATGATAATACAAATGAAATACTATTTGAATCAGTTTGAAACTAAAACTCACTCACTCACTAATGACCTGACCTGAGATGACCTGCCCTGATATAGTGTTGACTGCAGTATAAACCAGCATCACTCTCACACTCATTTCTCTATGTACTTAGTGCTCGTTGTTTGAACCAGACAACTTACACCTTTGGCGGTTCGTCCAAACATTACGAAAATCAATTCCAATAAGCAGTATATTTTCAGCCCATACAATGCTTCCTTGCTGAGAGTCAGGAACATCTCTCTGTGAACAGTGTCAGTGAAAGTGGACTCCACAGAGAAAGTGTGTGTAAATCAATTTTGTGTTGCAGGTTGATCAGAGCGGTCTTGGCCTACCTGAGAGGGACTACTATCTCAATAAATCCATTACTGACGACAAGGTACGTCATCCATTTAGATCCATCAGTAGGTGTTGGAGATGGAGCTGGGCACTTTGTTTCAGATTGAATATGTTTTAGTTAGTGCTAGTAAAAACATGCACGAAAATATTTTTTGGGAAGCCAGACATTTTTTTAAATATTATGCGGGAGAAAATTCTGCAGAACATCCAGTGGATGTATTTTTTCTCTCTTTTTTTTGCTTTCATCTCTTCTTTTTTTTTTCTTTTTTTTTTGCTAAAATCTATCTTGTAGAAGCATTTGCATGAATTTTGTTCATACAATAACTATTTTTAAAATATTCCAGTTCCATCATCTTAACACCCCGTTACCATTATGTCTAACAGAGCATTGCAAAAAACATGGCTGATGTATCAGGGTGTATTGATTTTAGGCTGATGTGTTTCTCATTATGGGCAAAGTGTAAATATGATCCTGATATAGACCATACGAAGTGCTGAGAATGCCTCAAGGTGTCTCCCAGCCAGTTAATGAGACCATTAAGGACTTTAACAGAGGTTCATGAAGATTGGCACTGAAACTTACCCAGATCAATGATAAGTTGCTTTGGGTCGACATAAGGAAATTGTTATGTAAAGGTGTAGGGATCGCCAACACTAATTGATTACATCACTCTCCCCAAAGAGCTGAAATGAAGTTGGATTGTACTCTTGATAATAATGTCAGCATCTTTGGATGTAGCGCCATGAGCAATAGTTAAGTGATTGGATATTTGGCATGCTACAATATTATATTATATTAAATCTGTAAATAGGTCCTCTGTAACCAATGCTTGAGTCCCTGTGGGGATTCAGATCAAGAATACAGGTCCCTAGCAACCGATGCTTGTCTCCCAGTGGGGATTCAGGTTAAGAATACTGGTCCCTAGCAACCAATTCTTGTCTCCATGTGGGGATTCAGATTAAGAATACAGGTCCCCTGAAAACGACGCTTGTCTCCCTGTGAGGATTCAAGTAAGGATATAGGTCCCCAGTAACCTATTTAGTCTGGTTCAGTGACTTGGTTCATTGTTTGTCATCATACCAAAATGCTGTGGATTGAATGTCAATATATCAATCAGTGGATTGTCTGGTCCTTTACCTAATTATTATACAGATCGACATCTTGTAGCTGGAATACTCCTGAGTATGATGAGTTATCCTGGTTTGCCTGATCAAGACTTGAATATTTTTGGCAGTTTTCATTCCTAAATGTTGAAATATGGTATGCAGTTTACAACAACTTTAACTCTTGGGTGTAGTAATAAAAACAAATCTGCTTATTTCTCGGCACTTAAAATGTCAGAATCTATTCTTGAAGTCCCAATTTGTAATTAAGCAATTTCCATTTTGTACAATAAATATTGATGTTTCCCATCAGTGTGGATGAAAAAATATAGAATAATCAATAATCTTCATTAGATTGGTATTGAGCTGAAGATTAGATGCAGATTCCAACTTTTTGACATGAATTGATCTGGTTTTAACCTCCTTTCAGAGACAAGCATTAGCAGCACATGCACAGCTTACTGATGTAGTTGTTGGTCACGTTGTAGGTATTGTCAGCGTACCTGGAGTACATGACGACGCTGGGGATGCTGCTTGGAGCTGAGGATCGCAACGCTACCAGGGATGACATGTTGAAAGTTATAGAGTTTGAAACAAAAATTGCTGAGGTAGGCACTTCTCTGTAATTGTGGTTTCTAATGGGTGCCCTTCTATTGGGTAGCATGGGGATGGCATGGTGCTTTGTGGTCAAGGATACCATAATTCACCAACAGACAGACAATTCTTTCCATTGGTTGCAACATAACACTCACACATGCCCCACTCAGCCAAGTCAGTCAGTCAGTATGGTCTTACGCTGCTTTTAGCAATATTCCAGCAATATCGAGGCAGGGAACACCAGGAAATGGGCTTAACACATTGTACCCATGTGGGCAATTGAACCCAGGTCTTCAGCATGGCGAGCCAACGGTTTAACCACTAGGCTACCCAACCCCCCTGAACCAAAATCAATAAAGCCAACCACACATACTTTCTGTTAAAGAATATTTGGATACCCGTGAAAACATTTCAGCAAAACATACAAATCATGATCACAGAGCAATGCTTGAATTGAATCAAAACAACCCAACAATTGAAAACCAGTGTTTTGGAGCTACATCATTGTGGTTTTGTCACTTCCTGGTTCTTGTAACACCTAATGGCATAAAGTAGGGTCTGGCTGACTTGGATGTAAATAATGTGTCTGAGCTGAAAGTCCATGTTAAAGTCCCTTGTAGCTTAGTATGCCAGCACTGCGTAGCCGAGCTCTGCCGTGTGAACAGTTTTATTCCCGTGTATGTTTTTTTTAAGCCTAATGCTTACGTTCTCTTGGGCTATTATATATACTGGTATATACTGGAAGCTGTTTCCAGATCACTATCCCGGCAAAGGACAGACGCGATGAGGAGAAAAACTACCACAAGATGCGGATAGTGGACATGCAGAAACAGTTCCCCTTTGTAAGTAACAGATAGTTGACATGCAGGAACAGTTCCCCTTTGTAAGTAACAAAAAGTCGACATACAGAAACAGTTCCGCTTTGTAAGTAATGGATAGTCGACATGCAGGAACAGTTCCCCTTTGTAAGAAACAGATAGTCAACATGCAGAAACAGTTCCCCTTTGTAAGTAACGGATAGTCGACATGCAGAGACAGTTATCTTGTGTGAGTGTTAGATAGTCGACATGCAGAAACAGTTCCCCTTTGTAAGTAACAGATAGTCGACATGCAGGAACAGTTCCCCTTTGTAAGTAACAGATAGTTGACATGCAAAAACAGTTCCCCTTTGTAAGTAACAGATAGTCGACATGCAGAGACAGTTCCCCTTTGTAAGTAACAGATAGTCGACATGCAAAAACAGTTCCCCTTTGTAAGTAACAGATAGTCGACATGCAGGAACAGTTCCCCTTTGTAAGTAACAGATAGTCAACATGCAAAAACAGTTCCCCTTTGTAAGTAACAGATAGTCGACATGCAGAAAGAGTTCCATTCTGTAACAGATAGTCGACATGCAGGAACAGTTCCCCTTTGAAAGTAACAGATAGTCGACATGCAGAAACAGTTCCCCTTTGTAAGTAACAGATAGTCAACATGCAGAAACAGTTCCCCTTTGTAAGTAACAGATAGTCGACTTGCAGAAACAGTTCCCCTTTGTAAGTAACAGAGAGTCGACATGCAGAAACAGTTCCCCTTTGTAAGTAACAGATAGTCAACATGCAGAGACAGTTCCCCTTTGTAAATAACAGATAGTCAACATGCAGAAACAATTCCACTCTGTAACAGGTAGATTCAATGCAGAAACAGTTCCACTGTGTGAGTCGCTGATAGTCAACATGCACTTTAATCAGTAACGGATAGTCAACCTGCATAAAGCGTTCCCCTTTAACATTTCGCAATATTTAGTCACTCACTCATGTTGGTTTTCAGCTGAACTGGCTCCACTACTTCAACTCCATGATGAGTGTCGTCAACATCACCCTCAAGTCCTCCGAGGAAGTTGTCGTCTATGCCCCCAAGTTCTTGAAGAACCTCAAGGCCATCCTCAGTAATGCCAAGTCCTCTGATGATGGCAAAAAGTGAGAACATTACTTACCGTATTTGACCGTAGATAAGCTGAATTTTGAGGATCAAAAAACCTGTAGAAGGGTCGGTTTATCTACAGGTTACACTTTCATCAAACTTTTGTTCTGGTTGATATCGAATCGCTTTGCATAACAAACAAGAAGACAAGACAGTGTCAGTGAAGGGGTATCTGTAACTGTGAAACTTCCTACATACTTCCCACTGTAGTATTGCTGGAACACCTTTAAAAGACTCATCAAAGTGAGTTCTGTATGCAACTTTTCACACTCACTTTTTCATGTGTTTTGCAGCACATTAAACAACTACCTGATGTGGCATGTAGTCAAATCTCTGGCGCCGTATCTGTCCAAGCCGTTCCGAGAAGCCAAGAAGACATTCACGCAGGTCATGACAGGTAACATTTTGTTCTGGCAGCCACTAATTGCTGTAGAGGCAGGCACCCATGCTTGTCGTAAAAGGCGAATGACAGGATCGGTGGTCAAGATCACTGACTTTGTTGACACACGTCATTGTATCCCAGTTGCATAGATCGATGCTCATTATCTTGATCACTGGATTGTCTGGTCCAGATTCGATTATTTACAGACTGCTGCCATATAGCTGGAATATTGCTGAGTGCGGCGTTAAACAACAAACCCTTTGGGATGGGCTATGGTCTGGTCCATTGATCAGTGGATTGGTCAAGATTCTGATGATGGTGCAGCATTAAACAACAAACCAACCAATCTAGAGGCAGACTGGGATGTTAGGATGGAGTGACTCTCTGTTTGTTGTGGTGGGTGTGACTGGATGTAGGCCAGATAGCAAGTGGGTGTGACTGGATGTAGGCCAGCTAGCAAGTGGGTGTGACCAGATGTAGGCCAGATGACTGGATGTAGGCCAGATAGATGCCAGCCAGCAGCAAGTGGGGTTGGACTAGCAAGATGTAGGCCAGATAGCAAGTGGGTGTGACTGGATGTAGGCCAGCTAGCAAGTGGGGTGTGACTGGATGTAGGCCAGATGCAAGGCCAGATAGGCAAGTAGCAAGTGGGGTGTGACCAGATGTAGGCCAGTTAGCAAGTGGTTGGACCAGATGTAGGCCAGATAGCAAGTGGGTGTGACCAGATGTAGGCCAGCTAGCAAGTGGGTGTGACTGGATGTAGGCCAGCTAGCAAGTGGGTGTGACTGGATGTAGGCCAGATAGCAAGTGGGTGTGACCAGATGTAGGCCAGATAGCAAGTGGGTGTGACCAGATGTAGGCCAGCTAGCAAGTGGGTGTGACCAGATGTAGGCCAGCTAGCAAGTGGTGTGTGACCAGATGTAGGCCAGCTAGCAAGTGGGTGTGACTGGATGTAGGCCAGCTAGCAAGTGGTTGGACCAGATGTAGGCCAGATGTAGGCAAGTGGGTGTGACCAGATGTAGGCCAGCTAGCAAGTGGGGAGATGTAGGCCAGATGGTGTGACCGGATGTAGGCCAGCTAGCAAGTGGGCCAGATAGGTGACTGGATGTAGGCCAGCTAGCAAGTGGGTGTGTGGATGTAGGCCAGATAGCAAGTGGGTGTGACCAGATGTAGGCCAGTGTGACCAGATAGGCCAGTTAGCAAGTGGGTGTGACCAGATGTAGGCCAGTGGGTGTGACCAGATGTAGGCCAGTAGCAAGTGGGTGTGGACCCAGATGTAGGCCAGATAGCAAGTGGGTGTAGGCCAGACCAGATGTAGGCCAGCTAGCAAGTGGGTGTGACCAGATGTAGGCCAGCTAGCAAGTGGTGTGACCAGATGTAGGCCAGGCCAGAGATGTAGGCCAGGTGGTGTGACTGGATGTAGGCCAGCTAGCAAGTGGGTGTGACCAGATGTAGGCCAGCTAGCAAGTGGGTGTGACCAGATGTAGGCCAGCTAGCAAGTGGGTGTGGGATGACCAGATGTAGGCCAGCTAGCAAGCAGAGTGGTTGGGTGTGACCAGATGTAGCCAGCTAGCCAGTGGGTAGCAGATGTAGGCCAGCTAGCAAGTGGGTGTGACCCGGATGTAGGCCAGCTAGCAAGTGGTTGGACCAGATGTAGGATGCAAGGCCAGATAGCAAGTGGTTGGACCAGATGTAGGCCAGCTAGCAAGTGGGTGTGTGATGTAGGCCAGCTAGCAAGTGGTTGGACCAGATGTAGGCCAGCTAGCAAGTGGGTGTGACCAGATGTAGGCCAGCTAGCAAGGCCAGATGTAGGCCAGATTAGCAAGTGTGTAGACCAGATGTAGGATGTAGGCCAGCTAGCAAGTGGGGTGTGAGGATGTAGGCCAGATAGCAAGTGGGTGTGACCAGATGTAGGCCAGCTAGCAAGTGGGTGAGAGACGGATGTAGGCCAGCTAGCAAGTGGGTGTGACCAGATGTAGGCCAGATAGCAAGTGGGTGTGACCAGATGTAGGCCAGCTCTCGGTGTGAATGGATGTGCCAGAAGGAGGCTTTGGACCAGATAGCTAGGCCAGCTAGCAAGTGGGTGTGACCAGATGTAGGCCAGCAAGTGGTTGGACCAGATGTAGGCCAGCTAGCAAGTTCTATGTCTAGCATTGTTTTCAGGTGTGACAGGTAATGAGGAGATGTGGCGTTATCAGCTCTGGCTCAATGTTTGTGAAGGAGGGGCTAGCAAAGTAAAGGCGAGTTCTATCTCTAGCATTGTTCATACATGTGATATCGGGGATGGAAAGTATCCCATTTACTTTCAGAAAGACTGAAACAAATTTTTTCCAAATTACCATGAACCGCATGAAAATACTTTTAACTGTTTAAAGAAAAACATGCAGTTATAACAAAATACTTGACACTTTTTTCTAATCATAGCTTCTTTTGTTGTTTTAAATACAGGTAAGTAAATATTGCTGATAATAGTCACAATCATCTCCCACGGAGAACGACCTCTCTGTCTCAGTTATACTATGTAACAACACCCAACACTTTCACAGCTGGATTTTAGGATCTTGATTGAACGTACGTCGGATAAATGTCGTCATGCGGCCAAGTTGAACCAAACAAAACCATGTAGACTGGTTTGCTGACAGTGTCATATGAATTAGTAATGCACATGATCATGAAGTAGCCACAGTTTGAGGAGAAACTTGACAAATTACCACACCAGAGTTTAGTGATGTACTGTATATTGGTGCGTATAGTGCATCCAAACGTATGAGACAGACACCCCCTACTGGACTTTACAATTAGCGATAATTTATGTATCGCGACCCTGAATGAAGCACTTCATGAAGGCATACATGATCCCTAAATTTGTAATAAAATTGTGTTTCTGTCACTAAATCTTGTTTATACCATGCCTGGCCGTGTAGAACCCCAGCACAAATTACACATAACATGTACTACTGATCTAACCCATCTTCAGAGGTATTGAGTGTGTTCACAGATCAATTTGGACAATTATGGGTTACTCAGACACAAATGTGAAATATATTGACCTACACATGGAGCATGTAGACATAAATATTACGATGAATTGTAGGTTGTGCTTGATCAAAATTAACTTCTAGGTGACTCTTGTTTAATATAAATACATTAAGCCCTGACTATGAACCCTCTAGTCTGGGCATATCAGCATAGGATTCTTAAGGCATTTGAAGATCCTGTGATCAGAGGTTTTAGTTACCGACTACTGCATGTACCCTACGACTGCTTGTTGGTTTCATGAGAGCGATGCATGTTTTAGATATGGATCACTTCAGGCTTTCCTCTTTGATGTAACACTCTGAGATGATAGTGGTGAAAGAGGCACTCACTCACTCTCTCACTCACTCACTCACTCACTCCTTGTATAAAGCAGACTCACTCTCTCAACTTAAGCCAGTGTTAAACCCAATCTCTCTCTCACTACTAATACTATTGAAATCTGAACTCCAGTTGATCTAAACTGAACTAAACACTTGCATAATTCCAGACCCACTTACAGCTAAAACTTGTAGAAGACTCACTCACTCACTCACTCACTCACTCAGTTCATAACAGCAGTATTCTCATAATTTAGATTTGTGTATAAAAGTCTATCGATAAGTACATCGGTTTGGTTCCACTTGAATTTGATGGGAAGTAAATTCGGGGTGCACATTCTTGTATGTTATACAGACCAGCCAGATTGTTGTAATTGTCATTGGAGGGGATTCCCCTGAAACTGATGCGCCAGCAGGGCATGATATATCACATGTATGATGTAGAAATTGAAAGATTAAAGTACAGTAACTATATCTCCTTGTCATTACTAGATGTGAATTAAAGATGTAGTTCTTTAGTTTAGATGTAGTTTTTAGTCAAAGAAAGAAACAAATTGTTATTAATGGTGATTTGTATAAAACCCCGTTGCTTCAGGCTGAGAAGATGATTGACGAGGTTAAGATGGCTTTCAAGACAAACTTGCCGCATTTGCACTGGATGGATGATCAGACCCGCAAGGCAGCTGTGGAAAAGGTAGGGACTGTGTCTGTGAGAATTGTGCTGGTAGTGGCCTAGTATTTTTTAATTTTAGGGCTGACAGAAACTGCAAGCTCAAGTGTAGTCCTGTAAATCCAGAGTAATTAGATTTTGGATGGCCATCAAAAGATGTACAAGCTGTAAAGACTGTTGAAACATACTGATTCAATTTGACATAATTACTCCAAGAATTAAAACATGAATATCTTCAACTACCATGCAGTATGTCATTAAAAGTATACAACTTAAAGAAGTGAGAACATAACATATGTTATATTTGGGATTACACTTTCTTAGTAAAGTACAAATTCTAGTACTTTTTAAGTTGAGCCCCATCCGGGATTCGAACTCACACCCTCAGAGTCAGGCACCTAGTCGCCAGCACACAAAGTCAGCCGCCTAACCCGCTCAGCTACCGCGACTTCCACAATGGTTATTATCACTCACATACCTGAGAACATCCCTCAAGCTTTAAAACATCTTTACTACAGGTCCTGTAAATCCAGGAAGGTAAGAGTTGAGGCCCAAGTCTCCCATGATTGTTGAAAGTGTGCCTACCTTTTGTTTAGTGGCCTATTATTCATAGAGCTCCAATGACTTTGGACAAAGAAACCCTGCATGCTTATCAGTGAAGTATGGCATATCAGTGAAGTATGGCATACATGCATGTGTTGTGTTGTTTTCCAGGCAAATGCAGTTGTGGATATGATTGGCTTCCCGGAGTACATCCTGAATGTCACCCGTTTAGATAAGCAATACCAGAGGGTAAGATGAAGATTTTACAGATGCTTCATATGGTACTTTGAGAAAAGCACCAAAAGCTGAGAAAAAAATACCACAAGTTACAGGTGCTTCACACATCACTTCAAGAAAACTAGTTCAGACTAAACACACACATTTGAAGGCAGTGTGCCACCTGTTGTGCTTCTTTAACAATATATATTAATATGTTAGCTTGGTGTGGGAAAAGAGTCCGGTGTCTAAGGCAAGCCTTAATTTTTGAAAAGTGGGTGAAACTCATTACTGTATGAGGTATTTCTCTAACAAAAATGTCCTCAGTACCCATACTTGCTGTAAGGGAGAGGTTGGTTAGCTTAGTGGTGAAGCATTCACTGATCTGAACCAGGGATTGATTCCCTCTGTGCACACAGTGTGTGAAGCTGAATATTGCTGAAGCCATATCAGATCCCTCAAACTGACTCTTTGTAAACAGTATCTGCTTAAAGATTGTCAGTATACCCCTACACATAGTGAGTGAGTGAGTTTAGTTTTACGCCACACTCAGCAATATTCCAGCTTTATCGTGGCATTCTGTAAATAATCGAGTCTGGACCAGACAATCCAGAGATAAACATTAGCATCGATCTGCGCAATTGGGAACCGATAACATGTGTCAACCAAGTCAGCGAGCCTGACCACCCGACCCTGTTAGTCGCCTCATACGACAAGCATGGGTTACTGAAGGTTAATATTCTAACCCGGACCTTCACGGGTACCCTACACTTAGTAAAGTATTGAATTTTGTCAGATTCATAAGATTCATAACAATCTCCTAAAATCTATTTTTGAATCTAAGTCTGTCATTCTTACTTACAGACCGACGCCATATAGCTGGAATATTGCTGAGTGTAGCGTAAAACTAAACACACTCACTCACTCAGTCTTATTTCATGTGCTTAAAGGGCGGTGGGTAAGCCTAATGGTTAAAACGTTGGCTCGTCACGCTGAAGACCCGGGTTCGAATCCCCACATGGGTACAATGTGTGAAGCTCATTTCTGGTGTACCCCGCCGTGATGTTGCTGGAATATTGCTAAAAAGCGGCGTAAAACCAAACTCAGTCAGTCAGTAACGTGTTTGAATTTTTTTAATTTCAGTTACAAATCAACAAGTCAGAGTATTTTATGAACAACTTCAGGAATCTTCGATTTGCTCTTGTGAAGAACTTAGAAAAACTGAGGAAACCTCCCAAGAAAAATGCGTAAGATTCAGCTCATCCTCATTAGTCAAGTGTGTCACCATGGACACATTCTCGTACATTGATTAAGTTCACTCCAGACATTATACAGATAATTCTTTACTCATTGTATCATACAGGGGGGCGGTGGGGTAGCCTAATGGTTAAAGCGTTGGCTCGTCACGCTGAAGACCCGGGTTCGATTCCCCACATGGGTACAATGTGTGAAGCCCATTTCTGGTGTCCCCCGCCGTGATGTTGCTGGAATATTGCTAAAAGCGGCATAAAACCAAACTCAGTCAGTCAGTCAGTCATACACTGATGCTTGGTACACAATGGAGATTTAGTGAATATGTAATGGGAACATATTCTACTGAAACATTTACAAAGGGACTCTTCATAATTTATGGCTAGGGGGGTGATGATTTTAAGGGAGGTCACTCATTTTGTTCTGGGAAGGTAGGGAAAATTATCAATTTTGTACACTTGTACTTGGGGGGCTAAGCAATTTTTAAAATCATGCTTAAAAATTACTGTGTACATCTCCTTTAAACATCCTTTGAAAATCTCCTGTATATTATTATGTTTGCCACCAGTGTGCAAGATGTTTTTTATTGTTTCTTTCAGCTGGGGAATGACGCCGCCCACAGTCAACGCCTATTACACACCCACCAAGAATGAGATTGTCTTCCCTGCAGGAATTCTCCAAGCACCATTTTATGATCAAAATTTTCCCAAGTAAGATTGATCAAGAATAGAAGCCAGTTTGCTGCTTATTCATGTTGTCCCTCTTTAGATTTTAACCTGAGGATTGGAAGAATAGGCTGGTTACCAGCTGTCATTGCACTGCGACAGCTTTGTGATGTTGCACATCAAGATCTATTATGATTACTTTGTGTATCCCTTGACTGGTAAGAGATGGCCCATTCATCTCAAATGCTACATTTCGCAATGCAGGGTTGTGTCCCTTTGGTATGGCAGAATCCTCTGATCCCTGATTGGTCCATCAGACACTATTTTCTGGACCCCAACTCACTTATTTACAAACCATGATACAGGTTGAAGGTTGAATAATGCTGACTGTAAAAACTCTCTGCCTTGAACAGAGGCTGATTCATCATCTATAAATTTTCAAGAATAAACAGCCTATAAAGTAACATCTCTTGCAGTTCAGTTCATTAAACAACCATGTCCTCTGTCAAGGCATTAATTGTGTTATTTACCCAGACGTTATTGCTTGTATCGTACGCTGTAACTAACATTACTCTGTTTACTCCACAGGTCACTAAACTTTGGTGCTATGGGTGTGGTGATGGGGCACGAACTCACTCACGGTTTTGATGATCAAGGTGCTTAGTAACTCAAAGTGATACCAGGAGCATTTTCTGCACCTGTGATAAATAAATTTTGTACTTAACCTGCGAAAATCAAATTAATGCAGCCATTGTACATGAGGTATCGAGTTGTTGTGAAAATGATAACAATTGTAACATTAACCCTTCCATTGAATCTGTAAGACAATATGTATTGTAGGTATGTAATGGTTCAGCAACTACGGCTTTTGGTTTGGATTCTGACCGAAATTATGAACTCACTATGGGATTCTCACATTTATAGAGATGTTTAAGAAATCTGAAGAAACCTTCTGAAGTATATGGTTGGAAGAAATATTACAAATTTCTACTAACATGGTTGTGGGCTCTATGTACATGTTGCTGTGTGCTTATAGACTGGTGGAGGTACATGTCAGCTGGGTGGAATCACTGAGGTATAATCACTGCTCGGTATATTTACAAGTTTGTACCAAATATTGGTGTATTGGAGTTTAAAACCCCAGTGTTTTTCTGTCTGGTGTCCCATGATACCTCTGTAGGATGTCCCATGATGCCTCTGTAGGATGTCCCATGATGCCTCTGTAGGATGTCCCATGATGCCTCTGTAGGATGTCCCATGATACCTCTGTAGGATGTCCGATGATACCTCTGTAGGATGTCCCATGATGCCTCTGTAGGATGTCCTATGATACCTCTGTAGGATGTCCTATGATACCTCTGTAGGATGTCCTATGATACCTCTGTAGGATGTCCCATGATGCCTCTGTAGGATGTCCCATGATGCCTCTGTAGGATGTCTCATGATGCCTCTGCAGGATGTCCTATGATACCTCTGTAGGATGTCCGATGATACCTCTGTAGGATGTCCTATGATACCTCTGCAGGATGTCCTATGATACCTCTGTAGGATGTCCCATGATGCCTCTGTAGGATGTCCCATGATGCCTCTGTAGGATGTCCCATGATGCCTCTGCAGGATGTCCTATGATGCCTCTGTAGGATGTCCCATGATGCCTCTGTAGGATGTCCCATGATGCCTCTGTAGGATGTCCCATGATACCTCTGTAGGATGTCCCATGATGCCTCTGTAGGATGTCCCATGATGCCTCTGTAGGATGTCCCATGATGCCTCTGTAGGATGTCCGATGATACCTCTGTAGGATGTCCGATGATACCTCTGTAGGATGTCCCATGATGCCTCTGTAGGATGTCCTATGATACCTCTGTAGGATGTCCTATGATACCTCTGTATGATGTCCGATGATGCCTCTGTAGGATGTCCTATGATACCTCTGTAGGATGTCCGATGATGCCTCTGTAGGATGTCCTATGATGCCTCTGTAGGATGTCCTATGATACCTCTGTAGGATGTCCGATGATGCCTCTGTAGGATGTCCTATGATGCCTCTGTAGGATGTCCCATGATGCCTCTGTAGGATGTCCGATGATGCCTCTGTAGGATGTCCTATGATGCCTCTGTAGGATGTCCTATGATACCTCTGTAGGATGTCCGATGATACCTCTGTAGGATGTCCCATGATGCCTCTGTAGGATGTCCCATGATGCCTCTGTAGGATGTCCTATGATACCTCTGTAGGATGTCCTATGATACCTCTGTAGGATGTCCGATGATGCCGCTGTAGGATGTCCGATGATACCTCTGTAGGATGTCCTATGATACCTCTGTAGGATGTCCGATGATGCCTCTGTAGGATGTCCTATGATACCTCTGTAGGATGTCCCATGATACCTCTGTAGGATGTCCTATGATACCTCTGTAGGATGTCCCATGATGCCTCTGTAGGATGTCCCATGATGCCGCTGTAGGATGTCCCATGATGCCTCTGTATGATGTCCAATGATGCCTCTGCAGGATGTCCTATGATGCCTCTGTATCATGTCCCTTAATGCCTCTGCAGGATGTCCTATGATGCCTCTGTATCATGTCCCTTAATGCCTCTGTATCATGTCCCTTAATGCCTCTGTAGGATGTCCTATGATACCTCTGTAGGATGTCCCATGATACCTCTGTAGGATGTCCCATGATACCTCTGTAGGATGTCCTATGATACCTCTGTAGGATGTCCCATGATGCCTCTGTAGGATGTCCCATGATGCCTCTGCAGGATGTCCTATGATGCCTCTGTATCATGTCCCTTAATGCCTCTGCAGGATGTCCTATGATGCCTCTGTATCATGTCCCTTAATGCCTCTGTAGGATGTCCTATGATACCTCTGTAGAATGTCCCATGATGCCTCTGTAGGATGTCCTATGATACCTCTGTAGGATGTCCAATGATACCTCTGTAGGATGTCCTATGATGCCTCTGTAGGATGTCCTATGATACCTCTGTAGGATGTCCAATGATACCTCTGTAGGATGTCCCATGATGCCTCTGTAGGATGTCCCATGATACCTCTGTAGGATGTCCCATGATACCTCTGTAGGATGTCCTATGATGCCTCTGTAGGATGTCCTATGATACCTCTGTAGGATGTCCTATGATACCTCTGTAGGATGTCCCATGATACCTCTGTAGGATGTCCCATGATACCTCTGTAGGATGTCCTATGATACCTCTGTAGGATGTCCCATGATGCCTCTGTAGGATGTCCCATGATGCCTCTGCAGGATGTCCTATGATGCCTCTGTATCATGTCCCTTAATGCCTCTGCAGGATGTCCTATGATGCCTCTGTATCATGTCCCTTAATGCCTCTGTAGAATGTCCCATGATGCCTCTGTAGGATGTCCTATGATACCTCTGTAGGATGTCCAATGATACCTCTGTAGGATGTCCCATGATGCCTCTGTAGGATGTCCCATGATGCCTCTGTAGGATGTCCTATGATGCCTCTGTAGGATGTCCCATGATGCTGCTGTAGGATGTCCTATGATACCTCTGTATCATGTCCCTTAATGCCTCTGCAGGATGTCCTATGATGCCTCTGTATCATGTCCCTTAATGCCTCTGTAGGATGTCCTATGATACCTCTGTAGAATGTCCCATGATGCCTCTGTAGGATGTCCTATGATACCTCTGTAGGATGTCCAATGATACCTCTGTAGGATGTCCTATGATACCTCTGTAGGATGTCCTATGATACCTCTGTAGGATGTCCTATCATACCTCTGTAGGATGTCCTATGATACCTCTGTAGGATGTCCTATGATACCTCTGTAGGATGTCCTATGATACCTCTGTAGGATGTCCCATGATGCCTCTGTAGGATGTCCTATGATACCTCTGTAGGATGTCCGATGATACCTCTGTAGGATGTCCCATGATGCCTCTGTAGGATGTCCCATGATGCCTCTGTAGGATGTCCCATGATGCCTCTGTAGGATGTCCCATGATGCCTCTGTAGGATGTCCTATGATACCTCTGTAGGATGTCCCATGATGCCTCTGTAGGATGTCCAATGATACCTCTGTAGGATGTCCCATGATGCCTCTGTAGGATGTCCTATGATACCTCTGTAGGATGTCCCATGATGCCTCTGTAGGATGTCCCATGATGCTGCTGTAGGATGTCCTATGATACCTCTGTAGGATGTCCTATGATACCTCTGTAGGATGTCCAATGATACCTCTGTAGGATGTCCGATGATACCTCTGTAGGATGTCCCATGATGCCTCTGTAGGATGTCCCATGATGCCGCTGTAGGATGTCCCATGATGCCGCTGTAGGATGTCCGATGATACCTCTGTAGGATGTCCCATGATGCCGCTGTAGGATGTCCTATGATGCCTCTGTAGGATGTCCCATGATGCCGCTGTAGGATGTCCCATGATGCCTCTGTATGATGTCCAATGATGCCTCTGCAGGATGTCCTATGATGCCTCTGTATCATGTCCCTTAATGCCTCTGTAGGATGTCCCTAAATGCCTCTGTAGGATGTCCCATGATGCCTCTGTAGGATATCCCATGATGCCCCTCTTGGATGTCCAATGATGCCTCTGTAGGATGTCCAGTCATGCCTCTGTAGGATGTCCAATCATGCCTCTGTATCATGTCCCTTAATGCCTCTCTCGGATGCCCCATGATGCCTCTGTAGGATGTCCAATGATGCCTCTGTAGGATGCCCCTTAATGCCCCTCCCGGATGTCCCATGAAACCTCTGTAGGATGTCCCATAATGCCCCTCTCGGATGTCCCATGATGCCTCTGTAGGATGTCCCTGTCGAATAATGTCCCAAGATGCCCCTGTCTGATGTCCCATAATGCCCCTGTATGATGTCCCATGAGCCATCTGTAAGGTGTTCAATCATATATCACACATACCCTGCTGTATGTTGTTTTGGTATATTTGTTGGCAGGCCGGGGAGTACGACAAGTTTGGTAATCTTCGTCCCTGGTGGAATAACCAGTCAATTGAGAAATTTAAGCAGCGTACACAGTGTATGGTGAAACAATACTCACAGTACAAGATCAACGGAGAGGCAGTAAGTATAAATAACACACAGAGATGCATATTCAGGCACGCACAGGCATGTCTTCCTTCAATAAAATTGTTGGGGATGTTTAGTTACAGAAATACAAAGCAGCATCAAGTGTATTGTAAGGGTGCAAACGAACAAGAAAGACAATAATGTTGGTGGTGAAAATAAAAACCGTTTTTAAACACTTGATCAATAATTGGTAATCAATACTGTGTGGCTTGCTGATGTCATCTCTCACTGACAATTTGAGGGAGTCCTTTCCACTCCTTGGATATTGGAATACTTGCCAACTGGTCAAAATGACTGAGTATAATCCTGATTGTGTTTATGATGAATAGAACTCAATGAGAATTACATGACACGGCACTCTGCGTGTTTTATTTCAGGTCCGAGGTGAACAGACGTTGGGAGAAAATATAGCAGACAATGGTGGATTAAAGTCAGCATATTATGTAAGTGTCACCACGCTTATAATTTGTCTCGCCGCAAGTTTTAGTCTTTGGTCCTGTGGTCAAGGCATCCATACCTAAGGTCAGAGGGATCATCAAATGAATCCTACAGGAGACTCAGCAGTCTTATGGTCGTTTCTTTAATGCAAAACATTGAAACTTCCTGTTACAAACAAACAAATTAAGTCTCAGTACTGGATGTGTCTCAGGGCATGCCATTTATAGCGAGTATGTATCTGGCCATGGAGTGTCAATACAGATGACAACTTGACCATGTCAGCTTTCTTATGGACTTAAATGGTCCAGCCTCATATATATACTAGCCACTTTCACGTAGCTGCAATTATTAGTTACACAGTGTTTTGAAAGGGTGTACAGGACTGTAAAGTCCATATTTCCTGAGGCGCAGCCAAAGCGATCAGCTTTTTGGCATTCACATTCCATCCAAGGCCAAGGTCATTTGTACAACCAGTGTATTGTGTCATATGACAGATTTGACGGGGCATACGGTTCATGCACCCTGGCAAATCCGCCAACATGGTTTTGTATGCTTTGACTATTGGCCAATCAGAATTCGACAAATTTATCTTGAGGGTAATTAATTGTTGTATGTGTGGCCTTATACAACATACTACTGTATGTATGGTGTTATACAACAGATTGCAGTGTGTAAGGCATTATACAACATATTACTTTATGGATGATGTTATACAACATATTACTGTAAGGATTGCGTTATACAACATATTGCTGAAGGATTGCGTTATACAACATATCACTTTATGGATGATGTTATACAACATATTACTGTAAGGATTGCGTTATACAACATATTGCTGTAAGGATTGTGTTATACAACATATCACTTTATGGATGATGTTATACAACATATTGCTGTAAGGATGGTGTTATACAAATATTACTGTGTTATGGTATTATACAACATAATACACCAGTTCATTATACAACATACCTTTTATGGATGATGTTGGAACATTTTGCTGTAAGGAGCTAGTTATACAACTTATTACTGTAAGTGGATTTACACTAGTACAACATATTACTGTGTGTATGGTATTATACAACATATTGCTGTAAGGGCATTATACAACATATCACTTTATGGATGATGTTATACAACATATTGCTGTAAGGATGGTTATACAACATATCTACTTTATGGATGATGTTATACAACATATTGCTGTAAGGATTGCGTTATACAACATATCACTTTATGGATGATGTTATACAACATATTGCTGTAAGGATTGCGTTATACAACTTATTACTGTAAGGATTGCGTTATACAACATATTACTGTGTGTATGGTATTATACAACATATTGCTGTAAGGATTGCGTTATACAACATATCACTTTATGGATGATGTTATACAACATATTGCTGTAAGGATTGCGTTATACAACATATCACTTTATGGATGATGTTATACAACATATTGCTGTAAGGATTGCGTTATACAACATATCACTTTATGGATGATGTTATACAACATATTGCTGTAAGGATTGCGTTATACAACTTATTACTGTAAGGATTGCGTTATACAACATATTACTGTGTGTATGGTATTATACAACATATTGCTGTAAGGATTGCGTTATACAACATATCACTTTATGGATGATGTTATACAACATATTGCTGTAAGGATTGCGTTATACAACATATTACTGTAAGGATTGCGTTCTAATTCAACACATTGCTGTCAGGATGGCGTTATACAACATATTTCTGTGTGTATGGTATTATACAACATATTGCTGTGTGTATGGTATTATACAACATATTACTGTGTGTATGGTATTATGCAACATATTGCTGTGTGTATGGTATTATACAACATATTACTGTGCGTATGGTATTATACAACATATTGCTGTGTGTCTGGCATTATGCAACATATTACTGTGTGTATGGCATTATGCAACATATTTCTGTGTGTATGGTATTATACAACATATTACTGTGTGTATGGTATTATGCAACATATTGCAGTGTGTATGGTATTATACAACATATTACTGTGTGTATGGTATTATACAACATATTGCTGTGTGTATGGTATTATACAACATATTACTGTGTGTATGGTATTATACAACATATTGGTGTGTGTATGGTATTATACAACATATTACTGTAAGGATTGCGTTATACAACATATTGCTGTGTGTATGGTATTATACAACATATTACTGTGTATGGTATTATACAACATATTGCTGTGTCTGGCATTATACAACATATTACTGTGTGTATGGTATTATACAACATATTGCTGTGTGTATGGTATTATACAACATATTACTGTGTATGGTATTATACAACATATTGCTGTGTGTATGGTATTATACAACATATTACTGTGTGTATGGTATTATACAACATATTACTGTGTGTCTGGCATTATACAACATATTGCTGTGTGTCTGGCATTATGCAACATATTGCTGTGTGTATGGCGTTATACAACATATTCCTGTAAGGATCGCGTTATACAACATATTGCTGTGTGTATGGCATTATACAACATATTGATGTGTGTCTTGCATTATACAACATGTTCCTGTAAGGATGGCGTTATACAACATATTGCTGTGTGTATGGTAATATACAACATATTGCTGTGTGTATAGTTTTATACAACATATTGCTGTAAGGATGGCTTTATACAACATATTACTGTGTGTATAGTATTATACAACATATTGCTGTGTGTATGGTATTATACAACATATTGCTGTCAGGATGGTGTTATACAACATATTGCTGTGTGTATGGCATTATACAACATATTGCTGTCAGGATGGTGTTATACAACATATTGCTGTGTGTATGGCATTATACAACATATTGCTGTCAGGATGGTGTTATACAACATATTGCTGTGTGTATGGCATTATACAACATAGTGTTGTCAGGATGGTGTTATACAACATATTGCTGTGTGTATGGCATTATACAACATAGTGCTGTCAGGATGGTGTTATACAACATATTGCTGTCAGGATGGTGTTATACAACATATTGCTGTCAGGATGGTGTTATACAACATAGTGCTGTCAGGATGGTGTTATACAACATATTGCTGTCAGGATGGTGTTATACAACATATTGCTGTGTGTATGGCATTATACAACATATTGCTGTCAGGATGGTGTTATACAACATATTGCTGTGTGTATGGCATTATACAACATAGTGTTGTCAGGATGGTGTTATACAACATATTGCTGTGTGTATGGCATTATACAACATAGTGTTGTCAGGATGGTGTTATACAACATATTGCTGTGTGTATTGCATTATACAACATAGTGCTGTCAGGATGGTGTTATACAACATATTGCTGTAAGGATGGTGTTATACAACATAGTGCTGTCAGGATGGTGTTATACAACATATTGCTGTCAGGATGGTGTTATACAACATAGTGCTGTCAGGGTGGTGTTATGCAACATATTGCTGTCAGGATGGTGTTATACAACATATTGCTGTGTGTATGGCATTATACAACATATTGCTGTAAGGATGGTGTTTTACAACATATTGCTGTGTGTATGGCATTATACAACATAGTGCTGTCAGGATGGTGTTATACAACATATTGCTGTAATGATGGTGTTATACAACATATTGCTGTGTGTATGGCATTATACAACATATTGCTGTAATGATGGTGTTATACAACATATTGCTGTGTGTATGGCATTATACAACATAGTGCTGTCAGGATGGTGTTATACAACATATTGCTGTCAGGATGGTGTTATACAACATAGTGCTGTCAGGATGGTGTTATACAACATACTGCTGTCAGGATGGTGTTATACAACATATTGCTGTGTGTATGGCATTATACAACATATTGCTGTCAGGATGGTGTTATACAACATATTGCTGTGTGTATGGCATTATACAAAATATTGCTGTCAGGATGGTGTTATACAACATATTGCTGTGTGTATGGCATTATACAACATATTGCTGTAAGGATGGTGTTATACAACATATTGCTGTGTGTATGGTGTTATACAACATATTGCTGTGTGTATGGCATTATACAACATATTGCTGTCAGGATGGTGTTATACAACATATTGCTGTGTGTAGGTATTTATTTTCTACCTCCTTACCATAACTTTGCATGATATTTTTACTTCCCAGGCGTACCAGGACTGGGTGTCTAAGAAGGGGGAGGAGATGGTCCTTCCAGCGGTCGGACTCTCTCACAGGCAGCTCTTCTTCATGGGATTTGCTCAGGTATTAGGCAGAACTCGAGTGAAATTATCAAACTCTAGAAAAAATATTACTTTGCTTGTAAGTAAATCATATCATTGTTCGGTTTAAGAACAAATAAATTTCTTTTTTTTCACTCTTTTAACTATTACATATGAAAGATTTGTGGTTAGCTATACGCGGAACACCAAATTCATTCTTAAAAAACTTGTGGTTAATTAATACCGAGCGATAATACCGGGCTAAAGTCCGTTAGATTTAATGAGATTTATGGTTTGTTTTCATCAAGTTAGAAAATGAAAACTTGTTTCTACTCGTAGTTAGATATGTATTTGAATCATGACCAAAAGGATTTTGCATGACACAACTTATAACATAATGATTTCTTCCACGGAAGCGAGGTGGGGGTCGAAGTGACAATACTGCGCGATACATTTTTTGCTACATTCACATGGTTAACGTCCACTCACCAGTATGTAGATACTAGTCAATGTACGTCTTTATATTTGGTCTTATAATCCTAATTAGTTTATTGTCATTCTTGTATGCATTTTGAAACTAAATAAAAAGCAGACGATCTGCTGATACTTATAGTGAATTTATGACAGGACTGTAATATCTAGACATGTTATAGTTTGCCAATGTGAATCATAATTCGCACACACGCCCTAGTGTATGTTGTCTGTCTCATTACACTTCATGGTGAAAACAATGATTCCGTTGAATGCTACGACAAATGAATAAAAACAAAATGCAAATATTCAAATTACAACAGATTAAAGTTATAGGAACAATGTGAGGCTATTACCTTGTTCGAGGAATGTATCCATCAATATCCACAAAAACGAGTGATATGCCATTCATCTGCAGCTGTTCCAAGTGATGTGTGTTTTAGCAGTCTAATATACGAAAAAGTGACATATCGTTTCAGGTATTTCACATTGGTGTATAGTCTCATTGATCACCCAAGATAGCACACCTGGCAACTAATTGCATAATGTCTGTCTTTCTTTAAAAAAAAGCAATTTAGTTAGCCAATAATGAGCAATCAATCAATGTATTGGCGGTTAATCCTTTGAAAGAAGGACATTTTTTCGCAGACACAGACACGACAGAGTGTATTCAGTATAGATTAGTAAATCTACATACATAAACACTACCTTTTGACAAATCCACTGTGTAAGATAAATGTAATTAATCAATCAGCGTGTTATCGGTTAATCCTTTGATCGATGTTAATAATGTTGAGTATTTACTCCAGACACAAGAAATGCCAAATGGGAACCTTTATCGGGTAATCTAAGTGGTGTTACCACTAATTATACCTGTTATAAATTCATTAACTGACCATCAAGTGAATGATGACAAATAACATGTGTAGGTTTATACCACCTAACACGGGTTACAACAAGGGAGTATTTAATTGCTGTATTGCGTGCAATTTTAATTGCATGTGAAAACCTATGGGCCGACACTGTTTTGAGAATATGGACAGAACTTCATTGTTGCATAAGAAATACATATAAGCATTTGCTGTGTGCTAACCCTGTATGTACCTATTTACCTAAGTAAATTTTCAGATTCTTCTAGCAATGGCAAAGTAGGGTTGTTTAGTTTACAGATTCAAATAAATCAAATGTCAATTTTTTAATATCATAAGTAATAGACGTCATATTTTTACATGACATGATTAAACAACAAAGAAATGGGATCAATTTGGATCAGTCATTATACCATCATGGCATTAGAAAACCTGAAAAAGCCCACACTGCTTTGGTACTTTATTACAATCCGACAAGAACTACCGGGGATATTTTCAAATAACTGCATCTGATGGGCATCCACCCTTTTTAATGTCGCACTGTTTAGGTTAAAGAAATTATAACCGTAACCGTGATGAGCGAGGCTGATCATCGTTTTCGCTATCACTAGCGTCTGGTTTGATCAAATAAGGCCTAGCGATACCAAGCGATTTTGACAGAATCGTCTATGAAAACAAGTTGTAACTCGGAAACTAGGCAAAGCAGTAGACAAAATTAAATGACAGTAGATTGTGGGAACATATAGCTTTCATTTTTCACAACAGTTGTCACGATTTCAGGTTTATACAAACATGTAAACAAGATAATTTACCCCCTGAAATGTACAGGAATTCTGCATTGGCCCTCATACCTATTCCTCATATGACGTCACAGAGACGCGCCTCTCCGATTGGTTGAAATTCCGTTCGCGGGTGACAATTGTGCACTGTTGTCAAAAAGGTTGATTTAAGTTAATTAAAGATCGAAATGAGTAGTTTTAATGACAGGGTTTCATTTATAACCATGCCAGTTATTGATTTATGTATTTGTACCCCCCTAGAGTATATGTGATCTTTAAGAATGTTTTGACATGTTGTATGAAGTGTGAAAAAAATATGATATTTTCAGGTTTCTTATGGCAAATTTATATACCTCTCTTTTGTGTCTGTCTTCTATTGGTGGTGTGATTCCTTTCTGAGATTTTGTAACAGACTCACTGTTATTAAAGTTTTACCTACATCCAGCTGTTGTGAAATTTGGACCGGATGATATGTGAACAAAGTGATAATAAACCTCAAACTTAGTGGAAACGGCTTAAGTTTAACTGACTGTCTGTCTATGACAGGTGTGGTGCTCCAGTAGTACAAAGGAGGCTGACCACCTGCAGATCGTTAGTGACCCACACAGTCCAGCCAAATACAGGTGAGTACAGGTAGTGCCAATAGAACATTGAAGTAATGTCTGTATGGAGAGAGAAACTTCACATTCTACCATGACATTTAAGTATGTTCGTTTTTTGATTGGCTGTTACTAAAAAATTAGAAGTGAAATTTTTTCAATAACCCCTTCTGAAAGCCGGTTCACTGCGCGTAGTGACAAAACACTACGTAAGGGTAATGAGTGCATATTTAAAACGCGTCTTATTCATGGGGCATATGTCATGGTAGAATGGAGATAATCCTATTGTGTTGACATTTTGGAAGTGACTATAGTTGGTTGAACGCTGCTAAATGTCATTTAAAACCGAACACGTTAGCATGAGGTTTTAATTGAAACATTTAGCAGCGTTAGCAACTATAATCACTTCCAAAATGTAAACACAATAGGATTATCTCCTAAATCTTTTCTCAGAAGGTCTGTTTTCAGATATACATGTCACTGAGTATTCAATGCCTGGTAGTTTCATTTTGACTGAGGTGAAACTTATTTGTCAGTTATTCAAATGATGTCATGAAATCTCATATTTGCATAATATTTGTCCAGAACACCATGCTTGTGTTGACACCATGTTGACAGTTGTTGATATAAATTACTTGTCAAGAGTCCGTGAAGATTGATCTTCAGTAACCCATGCTTGTCATAAGAGGCATAACTTGCTGACTTGGTTGACACATGTTATCATATCCCAACTGCGTATGTTCATGCTGTTGATCACCGGATCAGGTGACTTGGTTGACACATGTCATCATAGTATCCCATTCAGAGCGATGCTCATGCTGTTGATCACTGGATTGTCTGGTCCAGACTCGATTATTTACAGACCGCCACCATATAGCTGGAATATTGTTGAGTGTGACGTTAAACAACGAAAAAACTTTTTGAGAACCTAAATGTCATTCTCTTCCCGTGGCTTCTGGAATAGAAAACAACTAAAACTTGTCATTGAACAACTTGGTAGGAGTTATTAGGGTCTATATAAAAGAATTTGCTCATTGCTCTTACCATTCATCGCTGTGATTAAGTTTGGAAGTGCCTACTGACACACTCTCAACCACAAACTTGTTCACTCTGTCACTCACTCACTCACTCACTCTCCCACCCACCCCAAAACCGCTGTTCACTTACTCACCCACATACAAACCAACTTTCTCATGCACCCATTCACCCAACCAATCACCCACCCACCAACTCATTCATTCACCTTTGTTGTCCTCTATTTCAGGGTAATTGGGACACTGTCAAACTCAAAAGAATTTGCACGTGAATACAATTGTCCAGTCGGCTCTCCTATGAACCCAAAGGAAAAGTGTGTTGTTTGGTGAGGCGTGATACAATGTGAGGGAAAGTAGTCCCTCATTACGAACTGTGATATGACCAGCGGTCACTATCAGCCAGACGGGAGCGCGCTCTCTAGTGACCAGCGGTCACTTTGAGCCAGACAGGAGAGCGCCCTCTAGTGACCAGCAACTATCCACCACCTACTGTTTGTTTGAAGATGTATATTTTTAAACTTATCTATCTTACACGAAAGCGAAAAAGAATAACGCAAGATATGATAAGTATTATGAATATACAATTTATACAAAGATTTTAAATTTTTTAAGTTATCCTATCTCTAGTTTTCTCTTTCACTTTTGTGTGGGACAGGATTAGTATTATATATATATACAATTTATTGTTGAAATTTTCAATTCTGAATCTCATGGACCACTTTTGAGAGAATTTAAAAGAGACAACTCTTAAAGTGAATCATGAGAAAGAGATTTCCAAGTCAATCATGATCATGAGATTAACTATTGAATTATGATAAAGGTATTACCTACTGAATTGCGAATACGAGTTTAACTTTTGAATTATCATGATGAGACTACTGAATCATCATGATGAGTCTTAAGTGTTGAATTTTCATGAGATTAATTATTGAATCATGAACAGAATAATGTTTGAATCATCCTCAAATGTTTAACTATTCACTTATGGTCATGATATATATATATTAAACTGAATCATCATGAATAGAATCAATATTTAATCATAATGAGTTTATATATATTGAATCATGATTAATATCATTACCATTGAATCATAATGAATGGATTAACTACACTGATCACAGAATTATTCTCTATTTAATCATGAATGATATCATTTGTTTTCATAGGGCACTGATTTCAGTAGAGTAGTGGTTATAGAAGAGTAGCTTAATGCTCATGGATCTGTATGTTCACATGAAGGTACTTGTGATGTTTCTTGTTTTTAGAGAACAGGTGGTCAGATTGTGTAAGAGTTGCTTCCCTTGAAGTCATCATGTGTTTGACTCCTAGTCACCTGATAAGATCCTCAGTCTTCAGCCCCAATTCTGTGTTAACAGGTTTCACCCAGACTTTGCCCTGCTGTAGAGCTCAGCTGAGTGACACATGGTATTATGTCGAACTCTCTCACTGACTTGGCCCTCAGACCTCTGGTTTTTATGTCCCAAATTGGGAAATCTTTTACATTTTACTGGGCTTTGAATTATTTTATTTCATGTGGAGTCTGCCATGGATATTTCTCTTTTAATACTGATAAAGGAAGGTATGTCTCGGATATATTTCAGTTTGTCTCTCAAGGCATGTCTCAAGGTGTGTCCTATATTTCAATGTGTCGCTGAAGGTGTGTCTCATGGTATATCACACCCTATTCTCAAGTAGTGTCTTGAGGTATTTCTCAATCAGAAGGTGTGTCAAAGTATGTCTCAACACGGGTCACTCTCAGTACATCCGTTAATCTTTTGACTGGCGTCATTCTCATCATGAGATACGAAAATCATCCCATGATTGTTATTGTGTATGGTCGACCTACGATATATATATACCGTATTTCTTCTAATAAGCGCCCCTGGGGCTTATTTTTTACAACAGACCTCCAGACCCGGTGCTTATTAGAGGCCAGGGGTTATTAAAATACCCTTTATTTTTAAAAGCAGGGATGAGTACAAAGCCTTCATTCTGTCCATCTGTCCTTCGGTCCCATCACTTTGTCTCAATCTGTCAGTCAGTCTATGCCCGGCGCTTATTAGAGACCCAGCGCTTATTAGAGGCCCGGCACTTATTTCTTAAAGCACTGCTTTATCCCCGGCGGTCATTAGAGACCCGGCTCTTAATAGAGGAAATACGGTAGTTGATCAGACTTCAGGTGAACCTTGTACAGATGTTATTTATACTGGTGTATAATGTTTTACAATAATCCCCTGGAAGGGATATTCCTATGAGTATTCAAACATTGTTTAAGATATACAAAAGACAAATGCTCATAGCAGTGGAATTTGAAAGATTTCCTTGCTCCTTTGTTGCAATTTTCTGTAATTTGATGACAAATTATCGGAACTATTCTTATTTTAAAATGTATGCATTTAATCAATATAGTGATGCTGTCATTGATACATTGTATCAAAATAGTGAAGCTGTTATTGATACATTGTATCAAAATAGTGATGCTGTCATTGATACATTGTATCAGGGGCGGTGGGGTAGCCTAGTGGTTAAAGCGTTGGCTCGTCACGCCGAAGACCCGGGTTCGATTCCCCACATGGGCACAATGTGTTAAGCCCATTTCTGGTGTCCCCCGCCGTGATATTGCTGGAATATTGCTAAAAGCGGCGTAAAACTAAACTCAGTCAGTCAGTACATGTATCAAAATAGTGATGCTGTGATGCTGTCATTGATACATTGTATCAAAATAGTGATGCTGTTATTGATACATTGTATCAAAATAGTGATGCTGTCAAAATAGTGAAGCTAGTGATGCTGTCATTGATACATTGTATCAAAATAGTGAAGCTGTCATTGATACATTGTATCAAAATAGTGATGCTGTCATTGATACATTGTGTCAAAATAGTGAAGCTGTCATTGATACATTGTATCAACACAGTGATAATGTCATTGATGTATGCTGACTATGAATGGTATCCAAGTACAGTGGACTCTGTCAATACCGGCCTCTCTTAACACCGGGCACTCTGTCTACATCGGCACAAAGTTTCAGTCCCGGCAGAAATGCACGTTATTATCATTTAGAAACTTCTGTAAACATCGGCATCTGTCTATTCAGGATATCGGCATTGTTTTTCAGTCCCAACGAACAAGTTGTTATGAAAACGAATCTGTAAAAACCGGCACATGAAAGACGGCGTAACCCTTTGATGTAACTAGGTCCAAATGATGTAACAACACAATTCGCTGTGACTCCCCCGAGATTATTCAGAAACGGGAAGTGTTAATCAGTATCTTGTTAATCAGTGAGTGGTACGTAACACTTACCCAGAGTAATTAATACATGTAGTGGGCAGTTTGACTGTATAAACAAGCAAGTGTTTACATTTTGTTGATTCGCGGGTATTGACTCGAGATTATTCAGAAGCGGGAAGTGTCAATCAGTTTCTTGTTAATTAGTGAGAGGCACGTGTCACTTACATAGAGGCTAATCGTTTGATGCGTGTATCGTTGAAAGCTCTGAACATCAACAATATCACTGTACTCTTGCGAGTATTTTCACATTTGTAAGAAGCGATTTTATTGGATAAAGATTGGTTTCTAACGACGCTTTTCACTACACTCTGCTTATAAGGGTCGTGATTGGTCAAAATCAGACACGTGACCTAAGCAACCAATCATATTATGGAAATGGATACCGTCCTAAATAAACGGAAGCTTTTAGATTAAGGCGAAAGTTTTGGGTAAAATAATGCTATTCTGAACATATTAAGAAAGACATCGCTACCTATCGTATTAAATTATGGACGTATTGGACATATCGTGCTAGGTTATGGCCTATGACAAAAATGCTTCATGCATATATTTTCACATTAAGCATCGTGTGAAAGCGAGATGTAACTTGTCAGTGACTTGACTTACATTGCATGATCGCACAAAAGTATGGAAATAGTAATTTTATATATGCGTTTGACAACTTTTATGAATGTTATTGTTGATTTCAATTTATTTAATGATTTCTTCGATGTTTGAAACATCGTTACTTTGCTCTTTGACAATGCTATTGTAGACCCGCTGCCGAAGCATAAACAAGAATCGTTGTTTGCAATAACATTGCGAAAAATAGTTTATAATTTTAATTCTGCCGATAATATATGATCAGTTGAAATTTAATAAGAGATTCCAGACATTTTTATTTGATTTAAACAACATGAATGTGCATTCAGACACTGCCTTGTTTCTTATTCAAACATCTTGTTAATGCTAAAGTGACAGTACGACAGCGAACTTCCGTGTGCGCAGGCGTCATAAGCGAACCTAGCTAAACCGGCACTCTGTCAAAACCGGCATTTTTACTTGGTCCCGACTGATGCCGGTATTGACAGAGTACACTGTACATTTAGAGATATTGTTTTTAATTTGAAAACCAAATGGCATTGCAGAGTACAGTAAGGAGCAAAGTATCTCATTGAGACAGGTGCAATTGTTATTTCCACCTCTTTTCTTTCAATGCAACATTTCATTAAACATGCTAGCACCTTTTACAAGCAAGTACTCCACAGCTGGGTGGTATAGGGTAACACTAGTACATGTAGACTGATACATAGCATATTCCAGTTGTGTAGATAGATGCTCATGCTGTTGATCACTGGATTGTCCAGACTGAATTATTTACAGACTGCTGCCATATAGCTGGAATATTGCTGAATGCAGCATTAAACAACAAGCAAGCAGATTAGTAGAGGTTCTAAATGGTAATATTTGTTCAAATACTGTATTCTTGGAGATACAAAAAACAAATGTTTTCAGTTCTTTGTTTTATTGTTTTGGTCTGTTTTACTCTATTTTGAAATAAAGGTCCAGTCAGTCATGACACAGACTGTGAATTGTACTATTGTACTTAATTTTACAAACAGCTGTGATCAGTTCTCAAAAATATTTCTTTTGATGTGCAATATTATTTAAGCATAAACACTATTGTACACAAGTGATGTTTGAAGTATCTGAACAGTCCCTGCAGTCTGTATTTGTTTTTGGTGGGATTAACAATTTGTATTTGCTATTTCACAGTTTTTCTGGCTCTGCATTTGTGAATATTCCAATAGTGCTTTCTGTATCACATGCTCCATCTCACAACTTTACGGCAGAGTAGATCCCAAGAACCCCATACTCCATATCAGAATCCCAGTACAGGCTAGATCCCAAGAACTCCATGCAGGGCAGAGTAGGTCCCTAAGTTCACATGACCCATGTTGGAACTCCAAAGCAGAGAAGAACCCCAGTACACCATTCTCGATGTTAGGATGTCTGGGCAGAGTAGGTCTCAAGAACCCCATGCTGGGATTCCAAGGCAGAGCAGATCCCCAGTAACCCACACTCAAGTTGGAACTCCAGGGAACACACCTTGCATTTCTGTATTCCAGGGTAGATTAGATCACTGGTACCTCATGCTTGTCCCTCTCATGGCAGAATAGACCCAAATAAATAATTCCAGGGTAAATACATTTGCTGTTCTCTATATGGATTCAAGCGCAGAAAAGATCTCAGTACCGTAGATGTTTCTTTCTTCATGCTTGTCTCTGTAGCAATTCCAGGGCAGAGTAGGTCCCCACAGGCTTGTCTCTGTAGAGATTCCAGTGCAGAGTATGTCCCCACATGCTTGTCTCTGTAGAGATTCCAGGGCAGAGTAGGTCCCCACATGTTTGTCTCTGTAGAGATTCCAGTGCAGAGTAGGTCCCCACATGCTTGTCTCTGTAGAGATTCCAGGGCAGAGTAGGTCCCCACATGCTTGTCTCTGTAGAGATTCCAGGGTAGAGTAGGTCCCCTGCACCTCATGATTGTTTTTCCTTAGAGATTCAGGGCAGAATAGATCCCCACATGCTTGTCTATTTAGGGATTTTAGGGCAGAGTAGGTCCCAGTACCTCATGATTGTCTTTCGGTAGAAAGTGAGGGCAGAATAGGTCCCCACATGCTCTCTGTAGCGATTCCAGGGCAGAATAGGTCCCAGTACCGCATGCTTGTCTCTGTAGAGATTCCAGGGCAGAATAGGTCCCAGTACCCCATGCTTGTCTTTCTGTAGAGATTCAGGGCCAGGTAGGTCCCAGTACCGCATGCTTGTCTCTGTAGAGATTCCAGGGCAGAATAGGTCCCAGTACTGCATGCTTGTCTCTTGTAGAGATTCAAGGGAAGAATAGGTCCCAGTACCGCATGCTTGTCTCTGTAGAGATTCAGGGCAGAATAGGTCACAGTACTGCTTGCTTGTCCTTGTAGAGATTCCAGGGCAGAATAGGTCCCAGTACCCCATGCTTGTCCTTGTAGAGATTCCAGGGCAGAATAGGTCCCAGTACCCCATGCTTGTCCTTGTAGAGATTCAGGGCCAGGTAGGTCCCAGTACCGCATGCTTGTCTCTGTAGAGATTCCAGGGCAGAATAGGTCCCAGTACCCCATGATTGCCTTACTGTAGGGATTCAGGGCAGAATAGATCCGCAGTACCGCTAATGTTCAGAGATTTCAGCCAGTGGTTGGTTGTACCTTATTTTGGAGTAAAATCTCACTCGTCTCCTGTTCAGGGGTGGTAGTGTAGCCTTGTGGTTATAGGGTGTGTTGATCATGACAAAGGTCGGTGTTGATCCTCCATATCGTTACATCTTGTGAATTTCTATGTTTTCCATTGTTATATTGCAGGTAGTAGTGTTACTCTATTGCTCTCTCCCAATGTGATTGTGAACAATCTGATGTTTAGCTGTGCTTGTTTTAGCCCGACTCTTGCTATTTACATGATCTAGGAATCATATGCAAAGCTTCGTAGCAATAGTTTTAGTTACTTTTAACATTCTAATTTACTGTGTTCATACAATTACTTCATATTTTTATGTAATATTTTTACCATGCAGACCATTTAACGAAATGAAAGTGTATGTTGTGTTGACATCTTTTAACATGAACTGTTCTGTGTATTTATTGCGTATAAGTTTTGTTGATGCATATATAATTAGAATTATTTTAATTGTATTCAAAATACAGTTTTAAAATGTTGTCATGCCTGATGAACAAAATTCTGTATTCATTTCCCAAAATATTTACAGTTTTTGAAGTTTTGTAAATTTATTGTTGAGATTCCTTTGGTAACAAACTGGGGCCTATATTTTCGAAGCTCTCTTAGCGCTAAGATAGTCGTAAGTTAATGTTAATGTGTGGCACTTACGACTATCTTAGCGTCGAAAATCTAGGCCCAGGGCCACAGTTGGCCCTGTTGTCCGATGTGATGCTGTTTGCTGTGCAGAGTTGCGTACCCTGGAAACAAGAAATGTGGTTTCTGTATTTCTCAACACCATTCCCATTGTTGTGGGTTTCATTGAAGTGTTAGACATCTGTGACCAGCATGCATTGCTCTCCTCCCACGTTAGGCTGGCACGCCACGGTTTAACTGTCATACTGTTGAAAGTGGCATCAAACCCACACACAGGAGCACAGAGAAACAAACCTCTGGATTCTAAATTTTATAAATGATGGATATTTGTAATTAGGATAACTAATTATCGGTATAGGAAATTAAAATGTCATCTTTAAAGAGGACAAATATTAAGTTATGGTTGTAAATGTGAACAGTATTAGAATGTCTCATCATTCATCATTACGTCCTTACTATGTTAAACTACTTTCTACAGTTTGTACATGGTGAGTTTTAACAATTTATCGTATGCCATGTAAATAATATATGCCAGTGTTTTATGTTTCAACTCTCAATCATGGCAAGTTTTGTGAAATGTTGACAGGGAAGACACAACACAACTTGTATAACTAACAACAAACGTAAAACTGATGTGTGTACATCCTCACTGTTCATGCAAGGTGCAGTATCTCCAGCTAGTGGGGGGCGGTGGGGTAGCCTAATGGTTAAAGCGTTGGCTCGTCACGCCGAAGACCCGGGTTCGAATCCCCACATGGGTACAATGTGTGAAGCACATTTCTGGTGTCCCCGTCCGTGATGTAGCTGGAATATTGCTAAAAGCAGCGTAAAACCAAACTCAGTCAGTCAGTCAGTCTCCAGCTAGTTGTGATAAACAACCCTGGCCTATTGGCCGACATTGCTCTGCGGCAAAGGTGAAATACCATCTCTATTCTCTCATCAATTACTTTGTGGCTCTGCGGCAAAGGTGAAACGTTCGCTCCATTCTGTGAATGCACATTGGTCGTAGCAGTCATTGGTTTCCCCCTCTTTGGAAAAAGGACATGACATGAAGCAATGTGTAGAGGTCTCAAGCCAAGGGTATATGTAACCTGAATTCTCATTGGTCAGAATTGTCATTGGTTTCCCCCCTCTCTGCGGCAAAGGTGAAATGTCCGCTGCATTCTCCCATCAACAACTTTGTGTCTCTTGTTCCAGTAAAATTAAAGTAATCAAGACAATAGTGGGGTACAATTAAGTTCCCATAACGGAATGGAGATTAATTCCCTCCATGAATGAGGATGTGCCAGATAATGTTGAATATTTTTTGTAGAGCCTTGTGAAAAGTGACTATTGTTCCAGTGTACCATAATAATGTATAGATATGGTTATATTTGTACGCCTTGTGTATATACACCGTCAGGTTCTATAACAATGGGTAGGACCTTGCTTGTACATTTCTCAGTGTTTAATGAGTGCATATCTTATCCAATATAAATAATTCTGGAATGCTGAGAGACCCATCGTACACCTAATGTAACACATTGTAAACTGAAATCATTTGGAATTGATTATCATCATTCTTGTTGTTTGTGAGGAGTCATTATTGGGGAACCCGTGAAGATCTGGGTTAGAATTGATCTTCAGTAACCCATGCTTGTAAGAGGCGACAAAAAGGGATTGGGTGGTCAGGCTCGCTGACTTGGTTGACATATGTCATCATATCCCAATTGCGTAGATTGATGCTCATGCTGTTGATCACTGGACTGTCTGTTCCAGACTCGATTATTTACAGACCACCGCCATATAGCTGGAATATTGCTGAGTGCGGCGTAAAACTAAACTAACTCGCTCGCTCATTATTATGGGGACTTAATATGTGGGCCCTTTATGGGATTGTTTCACAAATTAATCTCAGTACTAAGACTAGCATAATGTTTCTAAGCAGGGATGAGAACTTTTCCAAAATTCTGCAGGTTTTGATAGGTCAAAGACATTTTTGTGGTACATGCCATAAGATACACAGAAAACAAAGCCCTCAAACTCCTTGCATACATTTGTTTGTTAAATGCGTTATCATGCATATATATGTATTTTTATATTATTGTCTGATAAGCAGATCATGATATACAGAGAAAGGGCTACTGATTGATACATATGTGTGCCCCGACCATGTATACATTCAAAGGTTTATGTCACATGTTTGGTTCCAATATGGTCACGGGTAAATCTGTTGTACTGACATAGGATATACAGGATTAGGGCTACTGATCGTACCTGTGTGCCCTAACCCAGTATATTCAATGGGTAATGTCACATGTTTGGTCCAAGATAGGTGTGATTATGTTAAAGTGGGACTTTCAATGACAAACATGACCATGGTCAAATACTATGTCCTGTACATGGACTGTAGCAAACCTGTTCCTGGAAGCTCACCTGACCAAAAGGTCAGGGCTTGACTCATCATCCTCACAGTTTTTTACTTTACTGCCCCTGTTTCTTTTAGGAAGGTCATGACACCTTCATTAATGGTCAGTCTAATTCATATTCACAAAAACATTGAGAACCCAAAATGAAATCTTCTGCCATTGGTCATAAAAAAAAGTATCATGTTTTAAGTGTTTTGAACCATCTTTGTTTCATCCTCCGCACACACATTATGAAGGTGAGCTACAACTATTTTATTGTAAATAATACAGAATTAGGGCTATCCTAAGTCAGAGATTTGCACAAACTCCGCATTTTTAATGTCTCCATTGTCACATGTACTTGTATAAAGCCCATTTCTGGAGTCCCCCCGTCATGATATTGCTGGAATATTGCTAAAAGTGGCACAAAACACAACTCACTCACTCACACACATGAACCTGATTCTACTTCTGAGGTTACCCTCACTATACTGGTGATATGTGAGAAGCAACAAATTATACAAGCTAGCTTAGAAAACTTGCAGGGTGAAACATATTCTTGTGTCATACTTTGATCACAGTTTTGAAGCCTCATTGTATTCAGATAAGATTTAATGTTTGTGAGTTTGTTAAAATAATCTGTTTTGTGTTAGGTACGAGTTGTTAGTTGAAAGCAATATAGACAAACTTGAGGCTTTTACAGATTTGTACTAAAATGGATGTGTTGCGATATCGTTTTGTGTATTTTGTTCATCACAGACGTATATTACCCAAAAACGTCTAGATCAGTATCTTGAGGTAAATGGTTTGAAAACAGGATCCAGATTTTGAATGAAACAATACTTCACAGGCTTGCATATATTTATTTCTCCATCACCCACGAATAGTGACTTGTGTTCCTTAAGTGAAGCAATGTGTTGAGATCTCAAGCCTTTGGCACATGTAATCTGAATGCACATTGGTCGTAGCAGTCATTGGTTTCCCCCTCTTTGGAAAAGGGACATGACATGAAGCAATGTGTAGAGGTCTCAAGCCAAGGATAAATGTAACCTGAATTCTCATTAGTCGGAGCAGTCAATGATTTCCCGCTCATTGGCACACAGACATGACGATTTGCCAGTCATTGACTTAACCCAAAGCAGACGAAATCATGGTTGATGAAGAGCATGATGAATGCAAACCTGTGAAGTATTGACAATGACTAAGCATATTTACCCTTTATCATGTGTAAGTTTGCACATTTTGATTCTGTTGGTCTTCATATGAATAAACATAACTTTGATTCTTTCCTATTTTGATGAGTTTCACAAAGATGAAGTTTTAGTGTGTGTATTGTGAAATGGATGAGCAATTGTATTTTTGTGATATAATATTTTATTTTCTGCTAATAATCTTGATGAAAAGGATAAGAATATGGTATATGAAATGTATCAATATTTTAATTATTAAATATTTATAAATGTACTTGTCACTGTTATTAGCAGGTGCTTGATGAGGTTTGTGTTTATTCATGTTTTGGAATAAAAAAATGTAAAAGTTTTACCAATTGTTTGTTCTTTTGAAAGGTTTATTATTTCATTTGCATTTCTGTCCCAGGACCACATCCCACAAAGACATCTTTACACTAAGATAATAACAACTCCCTTCTGTGATACAGGACAGTTACAGTGCTCAGTTGATTACAGGTCCTTTCCTTACGTCAATTTAGCGCTAAGACAATTACAGTTCCTGTAATTCAGTGCAGGATAGTGCAACAGTAAGACAATCACAACTCGCACACCTGAAACAGTGGATAATTGTACCACAAAGATAATCACGATTCCCAAACCTTAATATGGACTTGAGACAGTTGTAGAACTAAGATAATCACAATTACCAAACCTTAACATGGACTTGAGACAGTTGTAGCACTAAGATAATCACAATTACCAAAGCTTAACACAGACTTGAGACAATTGTTACACTTAACATAAGATAATCACAATAAGATAATCACAACCTTAACATGGACTTGAGACAGTTGTAGCACTAAGATAATCAC